ATCTCCATCTCCTGTGCTCGTTAGCCATTCGAGTGCACTCTGTTTATTCATTGCAAATTCTGTTGTAAAGATATACGAATATACACATCTGCGATTTCGGATCATATAATTTTATTTCTTGTAAGTAATCTTGAAATATTATAAATAATTTCCTACTCGTTAATTCTCTGTTAATTCATATCTTCCACAAAGTTTAATATCCGACCGAATATAATGACTCAATGTAATTGCGACACGAGAATCGTGTCTCCGTACAAAAGTGTATTTTGCACGCGTTGCGCCTGCTAATATAGTTTGAACGCGCTATTGTTTATGTCAAAGGTGTTAAGTGGCGTCCCTAATAAGCGCTGAGAGTTGAAGCGAGGGTTGTTGACTGTGTTGGAGGGATAAGAGAGACACACCCCGAGATAATGCTAGTGCCCCTATCAGCGCGGTCAGATGAGAATGAGTCATTGCGATGGTCGCGTTGCAGTCCCGTGATGTTGTCAAGATTGCCGAATAAGGAGTGCGAGAGACTCGTGTTTTTCGCCGTGAACTAAACTCGATTGTCCTGTCCGTCGTTTATTGGCTTTATTTTCAGAAACTGAGTTTGTGCTTTTCACTACCAAATATCTTCTATTAATTAGCTTTTTAAGATGTAATAAAATTAGATTAATTTCCTGTCACAAATCATCTTCCCACGATTTTTATATTTTATGTCTATTTTATTTAAAATGTAAATTGTTCTTTCCTTTATATTTTGCTTGGGATATTTTTCTTGAATATTCAGCAGAATTCCTTGAATTTAAGACTGCCTGTATGTTTGCACGTGTAGGAATTAGCTTATCTCGTCTGACTATCTATGCTTGAGGAACCACGTCAATTGTGTTACAAATCGCTAGCAATTAATTTATTCAGTAATTACGACCAATTCAGTATTACAGATTACGTCATTTTTATAAACAGTAGCAAATTTACAATTTAAAAACTTTTACGTTATTACATTCGCATGAAGCATCACACAAAAAACTGGAAGTGACAGAAAAATTGTCATTAAATTTTTTGAATGTAGAATCTCTGCCGGAAGCATTGAATATATATTGTACGTTAATTAAAAGCTTTAATAGGCAAAAAAACCGGAGAATACATTCAAATTAAGTATGAAATATACTATTAGATTTATCTAATAAGATACTTGTTGTACGCATCGTATTGTACATTGAATCAGTCAGATGTCTCGCCACACAATGTATACAATGAGTCATGTATACATTCAGTATTTGCGAGAAGGAGAAAGCGAGGTCGAAAATATTAATATTCGCGCGGCCGTCAAACGAAATAGAAGCATCGGACAAACGCTTTGTGTCGAAATATAATTTGTGCGTTCGGAATCACAGGGGTTAATTATTTGCGTCGATTTCGACAATTCGCTCATATGCTTCCTCAACGGACGATAAGCGTGTCAAGGGTGAAAAGCGTAGAAGGGGAAGTGAAACCGTCTCACCGCGGGGTTCCTTGAACTCGCGCGTAAATATGGGACTACGTTGTTGCGTGTTAGTGACAGCCGAAAGTTGAGGAGGTCGTTCGAGGAGTCATGGGGAATCTTCAGTCACAGGTAAAAACTCCGCGACGCTGGCGCAAAAGGCGCGCTTGCTTGTTCCCCGTTCAACAATCTCGTTTGTCGCGTCACGCGAGAATTGTTGCTCGGCAGCGTGGATACACGCGGTTGGTCAATCACTCCTCCGTGTGAGATAAAATCGTTCGAAAATATTATTTCTGCCATTAGAACGTCCGTGCCATTAGTCCATCGCTATCTCGTTATGCATCGAAAAAGAAAACAAAAAGAACATCTTCCTTCCTGTTCATTTTCATAATAGCTTCGTGTCAATTTATGTGGATATACAATTAACGCGAAACGGCAGATTCAAACGAGTCGCGAATCGATGGGATTTAAATTCGTTTTATTTGGCCTTCTCAATGCTGTGAGAATCACAGTGAGTTCTTCGAGGAAACAGTTGTGCGATCTTCCGGTCTAATAGCGACTTTGTGTTCCTCTCCGCTCTTTATCGCCGATACTGTTATTCCTGCGCTTGTAGGCACTTTGCAGCGACAATCGATTTCTAACGCGTCTTTTCCGGAACACTTTTGAGGCAGGTATCTGCTCAGAAACTGTTGCAAATAGAAGAGCACAGCCGGGGGCCAGCACGACAGAGCGTGCCAGAACCTTTCTCTCTCTCTCGGTGAGACTTTATAATTAGCCCGAGTGAGGTGTGAGATGGTTGCGCAATTTGTTTCACAAAAACCGGCAGACCTCGAACGACCGTCAGCTGATCTGGTCAGCGGCGCGATCGCCAGTAAACGTCAGTGTTTCGTAGGCTGCACGTCGCCGCTGCTATCCGAATGGAGTATATCAATAAACTTCTGCATCGCGCCGCCAGCACGAGTCCGAGAATGTCTCCGTCGCCCACGCCGACGGTACATTGCGCCGTGCACGCGTCCGAAGGCGTTTTCCGCCCGAGCTCTTCTTACCTCAGCGCGATCATTCCACTTCATTCAGAGAAATCATCATATCTCAGTGCTCAGCGTGCTTCAGCGAGCGTTTTATTTTAAAACGTTACGAAAGAGACGACGCTTTCGCAAAGCGTGCTAACAGCGTTTTCTATTTTCAGAGCGGCAACGACAACCTTACGCCGAAGACTGCGGAGCATGAGGTCAAGGTTCGCTTCGCTCGCGAGTTCGCCGACGCGGGATTAGTCGCGGAGAATCTCTGCTCGGCACGGGAGAGCCTCTCGTCGGCCAGCAGCTTCCACAGCATTAGCAGCACCCTCAGCACGAAGAGCAGCAGCGGCATCTGTCCGGATTCGACGTCCGACAATTCGGATGACATCGCGAACACGTCTTACGTGAACCGCAATATATCTGGCGTAGAAGACTTGATTCTCGCGTGTGCCGACATTCATCTGGGAAGCGACTGCGACACTCAGAATCTCAGCCAGGATCAGACCTTCGCATCGGCCACAGACGGGACGTCCTTTCACGCGAGCGACTGCTCTCTCAACGAGGATGCGCTGGACAGCGTCGGTAATGAGACGCGTGTGATCGAGAATTCTCAATTGAAGGAGGCCTGCGTTTCATTGGATCAAACGCATACTTTCGAATCGTTTATCGACGCCACTCTCGTTCAAGATTCGGAATCTGTGACTCCTCCCGCGAAAGCGGGTGCGCCGCAGATTGAGGAATCGATCAAAAAACATATTCCACCAGAGGAAAGTGACAACACAGTGAACGAGTTTGAAACTGCATGCAATATCACATGTAGCATCGCAGAGGATTCACTGCCAGCGAGTGATGCCGATAACAATCAGCTGAATGTGACGGCTACCATTTCGCCTGACAGTTTGATCTCCAATGTGGTCACGCGAGTCCTGAACGAGGAACGCGCGGTAGAAGATAGTTGCAGTGCCGAAACGCCACCTGTAGAAAATTCGGAATTGTGTCCTATTGAGGTTTCCGTTCCGTCCGCATTTTCTCCAGTGCAACATACTGATTTGCCGTCACCCACCGTCTCCAGTATATTATTAGAAGATAGTAAAGCGAAAGAGAGTAGCGAGCACAATTTATCCGAACCGGCGCAAGAGGACGCATCATCGACGGCGTTATCATCATCCAACGATATCGATCAACAATCGTCCGTATTATCGCAAGCAACTGTAAATAGCTCTGTCGTTGAAGCGGAATCGAAAGAAATTATTATCAGAAAAGATTCGCCGCAGCCATACGATTGCATTGGTTCGGACAGCAAAGAAGATAATACTCAATTGTTGAACACAACCAGTATTGTAGAGCCGAAAGTATTGGAAGTTCGAGAAAACGTACAAACGAGTGTCGACAGAAAAGATTCAGAAATAAGATATAACGTATTGAACGAAACGCAGAATATCGTGCACGGTTCTTTATCTGAGAAAGAAAACGCCATATGCAACGAGACGCGTGTTGTAGAACGTAATCTGCCAGAAAGTGTAAAAGAAAATCTCGTCGAAAGTGCAACTCCGTTGAATGCGATTAAAGAGAACGCGCTTATCGAAGAAGAGCTCGATCGTACGCTTACGTTGCAAGAGTTGGATATAAATTTCGCATTAGATGAAGAACAATATGAGGATTTTAAGCCTCAACGACAGAGTACGACATTGTCGTTGATCAACAAAGAGGCGGACTTTGAAGAACTTAAATCCACCGCGCAACAACTTACTAATGAACTACTTAATCCTAAACTGGAGCTCGCAGACGAAACAGAAACAGAAAAGACAGAAGAGTTTGTCAGCGCAACGGCTGAGAGTAAGTATACAAGTTCGATCGGGCGCTCTTAAAACTTTCTCACAAACATTCACGATTCAAATTTATTAATTGAGGAAATTTTGTTATTGCTTTACAGTTTTCCAGGATCCTTCGATCTTTGATTTTTTATTAGCACGAAGTGACTCTAATCGTATAAATCGCCTTAGAGCGGAATCTTTGTACATTAAATTTGACCCATTGGTATCGAATATCAACATGTTGCCTCAAGGAAATGCCCAGTCAGTGAATGAAGAGCAGAACGGCAAGAGTGAATCGCCAGTTCCCAACGTAGATACACCAAAACGTAATCCTGCCTTAGCGGCTATAGACAGGCTGCTCTTTTATAGCCCTCTTCCTAGTGGAACGGACAAAATAGAAGAAGCTCAAGAGAAAAATGTAAGTTAGAATCTATAAACTTTTGTTTCTCTAATTGTTATGGAAAACATTCGAGCATAAGATAAACAATAAAATTTTTTTTCAGGAGCAACCAGTAGAAGAGCCTAAATCCGACGCACCACTTATCGCCGATCACGTAGATATGAGTAAAGAGCTTGAACTCGTAAGAACTACGGTACTACAATTAGAAGATGAATTAGAGAAACAGAAGAAAGAGCACAAAGCAGAACTGGAAAAACAGAAAGAAAAAATTAATAAACTGCAGACACAAATAGCGCAAGAAGTGAAAACCAAAAGCCAGATGACGTAAGTGATTTATTTAATATTTATTTATAGCGTTCGTAAAGATTTATTTAGACTGAATAAAACATGTGAATATAATTGGTTCAGGGTTGTTGTGGAAGAATACGAAAAGTCGATTAGCAGATTACTTACGGAGCGAGAAAAGGATCGTACAAACTTCGAACAAGAGAAAGCAAAGTTGCAAGAGGAACTGCAAGCCGCGAATCACCATTTGACTAATACAGAAGCGGCATTTAATGATGTGCACCAAAAATACGAGAGGCTCAAAGGAGTTGTGTCGGCATACAAAAATAATGAAACTGTACTAAAAGAAAGTATTCAAGAAAATGTAGATACTATAAAGACGTTGGAAACACGATACGACCAACTCAAGGAGCACGCAATGACTCAACTAGAAAAGTATGTGTAATCGATATAGAAATAAATATACGTATAAAGATCGATATATAAAGATAGATATAGACGTAGATATACAAAATCTCTTACTTTTTTCCTGAGATAAATAGATATTAAATTCATACAAATATTAATTATTTATTAATTTGTTGTGTTCTTAGAGCCAATCTGGAGTTGGATGGGATACGAAAGCAAAACGAGGCAGAAACCGTGAAATTACATGCGATGATAAGGAAAGCTGAACTCAAGAGTAATTCGCTGGCCGAGCTCGTGGAGCAAAAGACTAAGGAAAATAAGGAACTCACGAAAATCCTAGACGAGGTTATTGCCAGGGTCGCCCCCGGAAATTCGGAATGAGAATAAGAATGAAGTATCGCGATTTTTGGCGCGATTAGTCTTTATTTTTTTACACATCCCTCATCTTCGTTTTAAATACAGACATGTGTTATAACTTTTTAAAACGCAATTTGTAATGACCTTATGAGTTACCACATATACATATACACATATTAGAGAAACAGAAGAAAGAGCACAGAGCAGAAAGCAAAGTTGCAAGAAGAATTGAAAAAGCAGGAAGCAGCTTTTCGAAATCCATTAATATCGAATATCAACATTGCCTCAAGGAAATGCCTGGTTAGTGAATGAAGAACAGAATGCCAAGAATGAGTCGCTAGTTCTCGATGTAGGTATACCAAAACGTAATCTTGCAAAACAAAATTAATGATTTGCAGGTTTATTAATAAACTGCAGTTTGTTAATTGTTTTTGACAGGATCATGTTTTGAGACACCTACATCGAGAATTGGCCATTCACCTTTGCCGTTCTTAAAATTAATGAACTACAGTTTATTAATTTTTTCCAGAAAATTCCTTTTTCTGCTTTTTAAATTCTTCTTGCAACTTTGCTTTTTCTTGTTCAAAGATGTGTGTATGTGTATATGTATGTACATATATACATGTATATGTGCATATGTAATAACTCATAAAATTATTACAAATTGCGTTTTACTTCAGAAAAGCGCCGTTTATTAATTATTTATAAGTTGTGAAATAAGAATATTTTAAAGCTAATAAAACTATGCTTATTAAAAACACACCTCTTATTTATACGATAAAAAACGTTTAATACCCCGGCAAGTGGGCGTGTAACAGTATACAATCCCATTTTTAAATTTGATATTACTATAATACAACACATTTTATATTCTCGTGTTATTAAATTACACAAAAGTCATAGTATAAACACACGTTGGCTAAATATATATATATATAAGCACCCATATTTGGTCATTTTAATATTCCGTCCGCCGAAAAAAGAAAAAAAGCGAACTTTGCATGCAACCTTTTGAATTTTACTAATTGCATCGAGTAGCTGTCAATCTATTGGCCTAGTATCGATAAGAAACAGTACGTGATGCTTGGCTAGTTTCAGCATCCGGTCGCTTGTACTACCAGGTTTCCGCGGAATATTCCTATTTTCGAGGTCTGGCATAAATTTTTTGATTGTGCGTGCCAAGTTTGCGGCGTACTGTTTGAACTTCGGATGATTCATGCCGATGCCTTTGCTTCGTAGGGCCTCCGCGACCGCCCAAAGTAATTTCTGAAAATGAGCCAGAAAAAAATTTATACTCATCGAGATGCAAAATACTAAGATGACAAGATAAACGATATAATATACCTTTCTATGCGTGTCGCTCAATTCATTTCTTCCTTGAGTGAAAGACGTATCGTTCTTCGAAAGAATACTGCTCGACGAGTGTCTATCCCACATGATTCGCGAGGTGTTTTCCAATTCATGTGTGCAGTCAAAAGACAGGCTCTTCGCCCACTTGAGTCGTGGCCCTTGCAACTCCTCCTCGCATTTTCTTTTTCTACTTTCTTCCCTCAGCGGCACCTGCTTCGTGTCTTCGGCGTCGTTTTCCATCTTTTTCGACGGTGAAAATAAAACGCGCTTGATCTTTTGTTTTTCTGAATTGTTCATACCTATTAATTTACTAGGACCCGCGTGCTCCGACGATGGGCTTTGAAACAGCGCACGCTTCGAAGTTTCTAATTTAGATTTACGTGGACTCGATCCGTCCAGCATTAATCTCCGCACTACCCTTTTCTTTGCCGAACTTCTTGGGCTTTTGCCCCGAGGACTCTTACCCCTTGGACTTTTACCTCGTGGGTTCTTGCCACGTGGACTTTTACCTCGTGGACTCTTTCCCTTTTTGTGCGTCGGTTTCCTATGTTACAAAGATAAAGATTTAGGAAAATATGTTTTTTTTCTTCACAAATTATAATATTTTTGTTACGACACATACTTAATTTGCACCACTAGCTGCCTTTTCTCGGAGAGTCCCAATCCCTGCAAGTTGGCACTAGAGAAAGTCTTGCGCCTTCTGGCTAAATGTGTCAGCCTCTTGCCTGGACTCTGACCGTTTTCGCGCTTGGCCAATAAACGCTTCTTCGCGCTTCCCAGTGGCTGTTTTGAAAACCATATGTTACAAGTTGACTGCGTTTCAGCTCCTATGTATCTCTCGCATAATTTAACTGTTAAATTCTCGTATTCTTCTGCAGTCTTGTTTCTGTTATAACTAAAATTAAAAAAAAAAATGATATTAGCAACCACAATATATTCAGAATATATTCTTAATTAAAAAGAAAAACATTAACTCACTGTATGCCATGAAATTTGTGAAGGTATGCTTGAGGCCATGTTAAAATTGTGGCTTCTTCTTCATTAATTGTGTGATAAAAAAAAGGAGACTGCTCAAGAGATGCGTTAGAGTTGATTACAATCGATGGAACTCTAATCGGCTCTTTAATCATATTAACAGGATTCCTTATTTCCATAGGAACACTTTGTTGTGTACTTAAATTATCACTACTATCACTATTATTGTTTACACTCGATTGTGTATTTTCTGTATTATTAGCAGGCAACTCGCAAGCGTCGAAAGCATTTGTCAAATTCCTTGGAGTGCCTTTTGTACATTGATAAATATTTCTATCACTAATTTCCGTAGTCGTTTGCTTCTGGGCGTTTGTACTTTCTGCAGATTCCGAATTTGCATTCAGTAATGGATATCCAGTCCAGAAATATTGATGATTTTTATAAATAAGTTGCAAAAAATCAGAGCAATCATTTTGACATATTGTATGCCTCGGCGGAGGTGGGACACCACTCAGAAACTTATTAATTCTGTTTAATAAATAACCGTCTGATTTTGCAATTAATTCAGCTTGCGAAGGTTTTTGGGGACTAATTGCTGTCAATGTATTGTCCTCTGGTAATGCACTATCATCTCTGTTCTCCATGTCACTCTCAGTTTCACTATCAAACATCTCTGGACTGGAGACATTTGGGAATGTCTCCGCGATTTGCGAACCATCATGTTGATTAGCAAAACAGCAGTCCATGGAATTTTCTGAAAGTATAAATGATTATTACTGTTAAATTTTAATAGATTTAATGTAGCAGAAAATTTCAAGTGTTTATGTTGTTATTTGCAATATATGTATTGTTCATGTATTTCACAAATTTTAACATTATTTATTTTTCAGACAATGTTCCGTTTATGAACATAATTAAAAGTACATGCATCGAGCTACGATGAGAATCAGGACGTGTCATCAGGACATCGTATAACGGACCGTAAAACGCCACGATTCGAATGTGCATCATATAATGCGTCATATGTGTATACAAGCATATGTAAACTTACGAAGGTGCACAGTGCTTACGTTTCAAGTATTATGACAGTTGAAGAAGTTACACTCCTTTTTCTTTTACGGATTTCCTTCCGTTTTGTGACACACAATATCACACTTCATGGAGCTCTGTTCAATAATGCACTGGCTGCGAGCCAAATTCATTTATTATTCGGATCCCCGCGAGTCACAATAACCGTACTGCTCTGCATTGCCCCGTATACATCGTGAGATTATAAAAATATGTGTGCGATGACGATGTCGCGTAATTTAAAGCACCTTTCGCATCAAGTGAGTGATGCGCGACACACAACAGTTAAAAATCGGTCTAAAGAAATGGTACATTTATGAGATGGATCGGAACATTGGGCTTGTTCGTTTTAGCTGCACTGGGGCAGCTCTGGGTCTGCTCTAAACAAGATAATACAGGACAAACTATTTATCTGTCCTGTATTATCCTGTGTAGAGCAGACCCAGAGCAGCCCCAGTGTAGCTAAAACGAACAAGCCCATTATGCACGTATTTTGAATACACCTTTATTATTCATGCTTTTAGTTGGAACTAGAATTGCATTAGAATTTCATAGTTGGCATCCCTGCGTCGCACGGCTAGCGCCAACTATGTTCGCAGAAGAAACATCGTGGTTGTCCTTTACAAATGGCGACCCACGGTAAAACACGGCGTGCTGTATAACCCGCAAGGCTGGTCCGGCCTGTATCCGTCGTGTAAATAAACGTTGAAACCTTTGGTGCGTCGTATCCGGTCGAGCGATTAGACTGAAAGCAATCGTCGACGCGAAACAGATTAGACAATTCCGTGTCGATAAATCCGTGATAATGGGAAATGTGATGGCCGCCTCCGCACCTCCTCCGCCTTCACCTCCGCCACCGGGTCCCGGACTGATGCCGAATTTAGGGCCACAGGACCCGTCCAAGGATGTGTACGCGCCCACTGACGCGACCACCCAGGTCGATAACCCGGGTACCATCGAGGATCTGCACAAGAGATGCAAAGGTAACGTGTCGAAGAGGAAGGATCTCGACTTTCGATCACTTCTCGTTTTTGTCTTGCTCCGACCCTCGTGTTTTTCCATTTTATCACAGAAAACTTGCGGGTAGATTATTTTCTTGGCGATGAATAATTAATATATGATTTCTCTTACTTGGATGGCTTTTCGCATTGCTCATCTCTGTTTGACAACATAAAAGAAAAGTATTAGATTATTCATCGATAAATATTGAAGGATACAATTTTTTAAATTAATGTGTTATATTGTGCTTTTTGGTCAATTAATTTGCTATTTTATTATGTTATTATTTCCATGTATATGCCTGTGATTTGTAGCAATTAACTATATTTTTTATGTGCTTATTTTACAGATATATTTCCTATAAATTTTGAAGGAGCAAAACTGGTAGTCAATAAAGGATTGAGTAATCATTTCCACATTTCACATACCATTAACATGAGTTCTGTAATACAATCTGGCTACAGGTAAATGAACAAAAAATTATTTGTTTTGATCATTTTTATTCTGAGATATTTCATTATTTGATTAATTTTCTTTTAGATTTGGTGCAACTTATGTTGGTACAAAACAACTTTCACCTACAGAGGCGTATCCTGTATTATTAGGTGATATCGATCCAAGTGGAAATCTTAATGCCAATATTCTTCATCAATTGGGCTCAAGACTCAAAGGCAAATTAGCAGCACAGGTGCAAAGAAGTAAATTCACTGCTGTACAAATGACAGCTGATTATCGTGGTGATGCGTATACATGCTCAGTAACCTTAGGCAACCCAGACATTCTTAATTGCTCCGGTAAGTTAATAATTATAAAAATATGCTATCTGTATGTCAAAATAGTTTTACGTGGTATCTATGTTACATATTGCAAATATATTTTCAGGCGTTCTTGTTTTACATTACCTTCAAACCTTGACACCATCGCTTGCGTTGGGTGGTGAGCTTGCATATCAACGAGGACCAGCCTTACCAGGTGGACAAATCGCATTAATGTCTGCCGCGGGAAGATATACGTACGGTAACTCCACATTCAGCGGCAGCATAAGTAAGTAGCTCTAACATTCTCAATAGTATAATTATTTTCAAAAAGATTGTAACATTTTTTTCGAAATACATCAAAATCTTAAGAAGAATCTTACAATTATGATGCATAAAAGGTTTCTATCTCTTTTTGAAGATAACTGTACGATTTTTTATGTTCCCTTTTTTTATTTTTTAAATAATTATTTTTAAGGTCCATCCGCTTGCCATCTCTGTTTCCACCAAAGGGCTAGTCAACAATTACAAGTGGGCGTTGAGTTAGAAATTAATGCGGGTATGCAAGAATCGACGGCAACAATCGGTTATCAAGTCGATTTACCTAAAGCAGATTTAGTGTTCAAAGGTGTGCATGAAGTTACTTGATAAACATTCGAATATTGACATAATCTTATCTGATTATCTAATCTTTGATTTCTACTGTATCATACAGGTAGTGTAGATACGAATTGGACGGTAGGGGCGGTTCTAGAAAAGAGGTTACAGCCCTTGCCATTCTCGTTTGCACTCAGCGGTATGATCAATCATAACAAACAGCAGTTTAGATTGGGTTGCGGACTAATCATCGGTTAAGAGCATCAACCGACCACGAGATGCACATCCAAAGGAAATCGGGGACTTCGTTTACTGCGCAGTCAGAGCCGCAAACGTGTAATCTTAGGATCTAGAATAATGCCACATTGATCCCTTCCCGACTTTGATGATTGTCTGGCCGTTTTGTTAAAAATATAATACGTTAAGCGATCATGTTTATTTGATTAAAACGTATATGTGTAGATTTCAGGATTGAGCTTTTTCTTTTTACTACTGTCTACATGTTTTTATTTCCGCCTATAATATTCTGCCATTAGAATTATCATATACTGTACTATACATTTTCTTGACAGATGTTCTTCTTTCCATGAAAAATTTTAGGTATATTTTCGTGAACAACATAACAAATTGGCGGATATTAAAACTAACAATCAAGTTGCAAGTGTTATATGGGTTAAGGGTTCATTTGGCAACTGAAGCAGACACCACAAAAGAACTGATAAAATTTCTCTTTATTATATTTATGCTAAACTGATGTTATTGTTATGAATCTCTTCTAATTGAAGATGTAGAATCACTTCGTTAAATATGTTATAAAATTTTATTTCCCGAACGTACTGATAACTTCTTCAGGTTTTCATAACAGATAGATAAAATTTATACATATTCTATCCTCTTGATCTACATATAACTTAGCATTTATTTAAATAGAAATTTTTATTGTTACAAATGCATTTATTATGAAAATTACTCAAAGAATGGTTTTCTATGTCGTATAATTGGTTTAAAAATTGCTGAATATGTTTATTTAATACAGATTTTATCTCGAAAATTTTCAACTTATAAGATAATGAAAGATTTTTGAAGATTCGTGTTCATGTATTTAAAATTGTAGTCTGCTGGTTATTAAAAAATTATTGTAAATGAATATGAATATTGCACAAAAAATATTCTATGGTCTGCAAAATCAGAAAAATATAGTTAGGCATTATAAAGCAATATCCGCTTTATGTTGATCAATTAATTCGCGCATACTTTGCTGTACAATGAATGAGAATAAGTGTAATATTTTTAAGAAAATTATGAACTAAAATTTTTAAGATGCATGTCCGTGAATCAAGATGTTCAAAAGTTAATTGATTATTGATCACGAGAAATTTAATTTTTCAGATTAAGTATAGTATAAAGCTTACTACAACAGAAAAATATATTTTTATTCTAACGGTGATAATGTAAAATTTTATATACGAAAAGCAATAGCTAAAGAGACGACTCGGTTTATAAATCTGTGACAGCACGTGAGAGACCCACGGTTTCTTATTCTTTAATCCGATTGTATTTTTATTGTAAGTACAGACAGAATAAAAAGTTGTATATTGTTGAACAGTATGTAGATTTTTAATTACTGTTCTTTTTATGTATAAAAAAATATATTTATATAAATGCACAAGTGTCGTCTCGTATACAGCAATTTCGAACATTCGCGCAATTTCACTCAGGCGCACGCGCATTGCGTCTAGATATTTGTGCATTATATATAATTGTTAATAAAGAATTAAAAACTGTATTTTATAACTTTATTAATTTAATTATTATATGCATTATTTATTTGTTAATATTACATTTATTTTTTACACTTATAAAGTATTTAAAGATTTAAAATTGTATAGAATTTTAAATCTCTCCTACATTCATAATGTATCTAAACGCGCGCGCAAACGTTAAAAATTTGTGCAACTTCATGTGAAAAGGCACTCTTGAATCCTGATCGCCTGTGTACACCTTGTTCTTTCCTCCTGGTCGAATAGGTCGAGTTTCTAAGGTCAGAGCATGCAATTGTGAGTTCACTTCCCGGAGAAAACAATAAGCAATTAGCGCGAGGATCATTAAAAGGCAGTGAGCCGCGCGTACGCCGCGGCGCTGCGATTACATACGGTCAACATACTCGGAGATTGAAGGCTAGAGAGAATTGAGGCTAGCTCGTACATATATATCATTTTATTCACTAATTATAGCTATGTATGATAAATTTTCTAAATATTTCCACGAATTGACACTATTTTTGACAATTAAAAATTTCCGCACTGATACATGTAAAAATAAATGAAAGTAATTGTTCATTTTTGGTATAGTTTCTCTAGTATGTCATATGTTCTGTGTAGAAAGCCATTTGCTCTGTTTAATAATATAAATTAAGCAGTACAATAAAAAAGCAGTATACATTTCAAAGAAAATTGGAGTAAAAGTATTCATGATAAGCGTAATAAATACATTTTTATAAAATAGTTAATATATCGCCTCGTCATGTTTTGTTATTTTCTGCTCTGAAGTTTGTTAAGAATCTTTAAAGGTATAAAGTATATCCATATAAATTGCATATGCTTATGCGCTATGCAAGTTGTCTGAATATACCCTTAGACCTGAAAATTTATTAGCGTTTTCGATTATACAGGATTTGAACGACCCAGGGTTGATCAATCACTATTTTACTATAAATGCAAGTCTTTCATTGGTGGAGAGGTTGCAATGACGTCATTAACCAACCCTGGGTCGTTCAAATCCTGTATAATCGAAAACGCTATTAGAAATTTGAACTGTTCACATTTTACGGTTATTACGGCAAACTTCGATCATGTGAGTACGTTAATTTTACTTAATAGTGATATTATTAAATTAATTATTTTTATATCTATCCTAAACTAACAGTAACATAACATAATCAATAATTTCTCACTCAACAATATAATAGTTACGTGCATATTATATTATAATACATTGTTGAGTGAGAAATTATAACATTGATGGTATGTTTTTGTTGGTGTTAGTGCTTGTTAGGATATTAAGAAGTTTCTACAATAATATTACTTTTTGACACATTTAAAGATATTGCTCTTTGATGGATGTTTAATGAGATTGTTTAATGAAGCAGTGTGTATAAAAAATACTTCATTAAAAATTAGGTCAGGAGAGGTTAGGTTCTTTATTCTATGCTGTGCACACAACGAGAAATTTGCTTGCATTTGAGTTTAAGATCTGTGTACTGGGATGATTCGAGGTGATTTGAATGCTTACATGTGTGAACATTAATTTTATTTATGAAACACATCTCGTGTGTGTACAGAAATACATGCACAGTTAAAAACATGAGCAGTTCAGATAGACTTCTACAAAGCTGAAGTTTTGCAATTCAATTTTCTACTAAAGTAAATAAATAATTTTGTTCTTATTTTCGTGAAAATTTTTGAAGAATATTATATTAATTATAATTTATTTGAAAAACGTGTTATGCAATGTGTAACGCTCCAAAAAATGTTTCCTTTCACAATAATGAAACGGTTTCGAAAGGCTAAAAACAAAATGTGTAAAATTTACTTTCTTTTTTGATTCGATAAAACTAATATTTGCGTATACACAAATGTGGGTTAGTAATAATCAATTGGATGAATGAATGAATGAACGATCGATCGTAGAAACGGACGAATGAATGGACAGGCTTGTCCTTGACAGTCGAGTATCTGTAACCTGGCACTCTCGAAACAGTCGCTGCTTGCTTATTCTTCAGCTTGCCGACCCTGTAAACAATCTTTTCTCCCTTTATGCACCACTGTTCGGGATATGTGTATAACGTTCTTCCGGTATTGATTTATTAGTTATAAAATGTTTAAAGTAGAATTTTAGGGGCAAGGAGTGGAGGACGGCGAATAATATGAATTACATTTGATTAAATCAATTATGTGTATTGATAAGAAATAACTACATGTTTATTTTCACCTATAATTAAACTATAAAATGAATAACATACAGATTAATATTTTCAGAAAATCACAAATGTCATATGATCAAGATAAATTGTATATCAGCGATCAAGAATCTTGAAACATGAAGCTGTACTAATTTTGGATAACTCAGAATGTATGCGTCAAATCCACATTTATGTATATCATGACTGTAATTTGGCTTCTTTAAAGAATAAGTACAAAATAATAAACGTAAGTAAAATATTAATAATAAGTCATGTAATAAGTAAATTAATTAATATAAATATAATTTTAGAGTTTTACTTACGTGA